ATTACAGTCACATGCACTGAATTTCAAGAAATGTACATGGGGGAAGACAGTCCTTAATACACCTTCATGCATGCAATGATACTATTGAGTAACAAGCTCTTGTAGTTACCACAGCTAATTTTATGAAAACACCATTTCAGTGCTCAACATTATTTAAACAACTGAATGGAAAGTTACAACAGTGGGCTGCTGTACAAAGCCCTGGTGCATCTGCATCAAGCATATGATGTGCAGTTCTAGTGCCTAAATGTCAGGAAGGATATAATAAAACAAGAAAACTTGAAAGTAATGTGGATGATGAAATATATGAACCTGATATCTGTGAGAACAAAGACGAAATAGGTCAAGACTTCAATCTGAATAAGAGAACTGAGAAGGGGATATGATACAGAAAGGTCTATATAAAATCTTGAGTACCCTGAAGAAAGTAAGTAGAGAACAACAGTCTATTCTCTTCTATTCTCTTCTGAAGAGGAGATACTTGAAGACAAGACTCTATTACTATGCTGCTCTTGCAGAATTAACTTTAAGGTTAAATTTAACAAGGCATAAGTAGTTGGAGCAGTCAGTCACAATAGCATGGAATCTGCTTCAGCCTCATTAGTTGTTTGTGAAGATTTATATTGTCAGCGTTCCTTTGGTGAACCACAGGTAACTAGAAGTAACTTGTAAATAATTTTATTTAAAGGCCAGTTGTTTCTGTTTGGTGTGTCTTAGTTAAAATAGTTTTTAAACGGATGTGGAAGAACAATTCTAAATAATTATTGTGAAGAGAAAGTAACTGCCTAAGTCAATTATTCGAAAGAAGCCATTCAAGGATATTCCTTGAAACAGGCAAACTGGTGAATGTTAATTAAATCTAAGAGTAATCATGACTATTTCTCTCTGTTTACTAATGTGGTTTTATAAGTCTACAATGTGATTTTCCATCTTCAACAGAAAAAGAGATGTCAGCTGCACTGTTGTCAGCTTAATTACATGTTTGTGGTCCACATACCTTATACAAAGGTTGTCAAGTACTAAGGAAGAATTAGGGAGATGGATTTCTTGCAGAGAAAACCTGGATATGCTGCTTTCCTTCTCCCTTAGAAGAGAGGGGTCATGTGCAGACTATAGGACTGTACAACTTCTTAGGGAAAATAGCAGCTGGAATCTACTGATGCTCACGAGGTAGAGAGTAATAGGATATTGCATTTAGATGGGTGAGAGTTCAACTGTATCTCTTTAGTGGAAACCCCGGATTCTGTAAGAGCACACTTCTGTAAGAAGTGTGTTCCTGTGTCATTGGTGATGACAGACCACCAGTTCCTTTTTGCCAGTTACAGGAATTCACTTTAGAGGTCATGTAAAATTGTCTTTCACAAGCATATGTCATTTTAACCCTTTTACATTCCTGAAATTTTGTTACTATTTCAGTTGTGATGCTCATATAAATAATTCTGAAGGATAAATAATCTCTGACATGGCTTGATAATCTATTTTCACCTACACGTTTAAATCTTTTCTTTATTTTCTCTTTTTCTTTTTTTTTCCTCTTTTTCTTTTTCTTTTTCTTTTTTTTTTTTAAATGCAGCTGTCCCATTACAGGACTCGAAAATCTTGAAGGCCCTTTCCCTCCGGCTCTTCCATGTGTAAACAAGTAAACTGGATATGAAAGCTTGTGATGAGTAGTGTAATTAGGGATGGGAACAGAGTGCATTGCTCTTTCAAGTCAGAGTTATAATCCTTGTCTGTGACTTTATGCTAGGAGGAAAGATCTGCTGTCAGTCTTGGCTGGATTTGTTGTTATCCTTTATCAAGCAATACCTTTGCCTTCATCACTTTCACTGGTGATTTCAGTTTATGAATGTACAATCTGCAGTAATGCATGCAGCGTGACTGTAATTTTTTCTCCTCCTTCTTGATGGTTACTAATTCTTCTTTTTCAGAAAATTCCAGTTGAGACTGCAATATGTCTAAGTATCTCTACTTTCTTTGTATAAGTTGTTTTTTAAGATTTCAAATTAAATTTTAAGTCAGTGCAGGATTTAAGCTTAAATTAGAAGTATAATAATTTGGAAAATCACAATCATTTGGAGGGGAAGCTTGGCATCTTCTGAGTTCAGTAAAGAAATTGCTAGCTTTCTAGTCAAATTGCCAACTAATATTAATGCATGTAGTTTTTGCTTAAGTCCCTAATTAAGGCTGGTGTAATGGACTTGGGTTTTAACATTGGCGGGTAGTTGTGGTATCAAATTATGTTTTTTTGTGATTCCTATTCTATTTCTATAATAATGCGAATAAGCTGTTATATGAAAATTGCTTTTAGATGCAACACACTTGGAAAGGTACACCTTATACAAAGTTTACACCATTTCAAATATGTAATTGATTAAATGTTTTCATTTTCAATAGGAAACAGGCATTTGAAAGTAACAGAAAGACTGTAGGAAACATTAACTATCAATATTTTCTAAAAATTTTCTGAGATTATCCCTTTCTAAATAGTTACGAAAAAGTTACTTTCGGTAAGAATTTTTGCTATGTGGAAGAGAGAGGAAGCTAGTCTTAATAACATGCTTTATGGTCCTGCTAACATCGCTAATGTTCCTGTTGCACTCTTTGTGCAAAAAAAATTGTGAAGTCAAGATTTTTTTACATCTGAAAAAAAGCATCTTGCAAAGTCATTATATCCTTTTAAAACATGAAATAAAAACCGATGTAAGCCAGTTAATACTTAGTGACAGACTTGTGTCCTGTATTTTGACGAATACATTTTGCTAATAGTTTACTTCTGGCCAAAATAGGCCTTAGGTTTACAGTCCAGTTAGAGTATGTTACACAGTGGTACTAAAAGCCTTCTGAGATACTCTGTATAAAATACGATTTTTTTATAAGTAGCCCTTAAAACATCTAGATGTATCTTTCAAGAATAAAACAGATAAAGTAATACAAGATAAATATTTTCATATCTCTTTGTATGTGACTCTGTTCTCTCTTGCCATTTGTGACAACTTTCTAAATGACAGAAAGAAGTTGCCTATAATTTTTCTTAGCCTTGATATTTCAGTTTAAAAACAGCAACATAACAATGCAGCAGTGTATATGGTTATCTGCTCTAGCCATTACATACAAAAAAGAGCATGCTTAGTAAAGGTACAAGTAACGACTGGATAACAGAAGAATGATTTACAATGATATTTTAAATAAAATAATCTTTCAATAAATGTTGAAGTTTATCTTCTTCAGCTCTGTTTGTATATTTACCTTAGAGCATGAGCAGGTTATATGGACATATCCAACTTCTGAGTTGAAATACAGTGAGGTCTTTCACATTTTTGGCTTACTGAAATACTGGCTATTAGCTTGTATTTTCGCTTTGCTAGACAATTAAGATAATGCTAATGTCCTTTATAAATCTTACAGGAAAGTGCTTTTAGGGATTTGTGGCACCTCTATTCTTCTCTGATTCTTATTTCGTAGGTAGTTTTGTTGTAGAGAAATGATGGCAGAATTTAGGGATTTTCTACGCTGTGAGAGTTATCAGCAGAGAATGGTTTTTATTTGTACCTATCATCATTGCACTTCATTGCGTGATGTAAATATGTCTGTAAATTTAGGTAGGGAGGAGACATTTTGACATGAAATTTGTTCTCTAGGAACTTGCATGCAATATTGGGAAAAAAAAAAAAAAACCCCTTCCTCTGCTGAAAAACTGTGGAAAATAGGTTTATGATAGTCTCGAAGTTACTAATTAGAATTAGTTTCCAAGTTAACCATTGCTTTTTTGATAGCAAGAGTACTGATATAAGGAACAAAAGTTAGGACTGGACAATTTATTTATTTATTTATTTTCATAGCTGATTAGACTCTGAATCAGATGTTTTTTCCTTAAAATGAAAAAAGTTGTATTCAAATACTGAACTCGCACGGTTTATTTTCTTTCAGATGTGAACTATTCTACCCTCTTTTACAGAAATGAACGAACAAATTTAAATTAATAATTTAAATTTTTACTAACTATTTTTAGAACTCAAAGCATTTGGATTATCAGTTTTCCAGAACGTGGTCATTTGAATTTGGAAGGACCTGATTTATCGCAAATTTTGAATTGCAGAAAATTCAATTGAAAGAGGTTATGGTATGAGAGGAACTGAATTTATCTTGACGCTCAGATATCACTAGTCTTGTAGCCTAGCCTGAAACTAACTACTCATATGAGAGATTTTATTAAAAAACTTGTTGAGAATGCGGAAGTGATGTCTGGAGACATGCAAGTGTGAATGTACACAGCAAAGTACTGTATTTTATGGAAAAAAAACCTTGTGTAGATTGTGTTTTTGTGTTGTTCACATACCTAAAAATTTTTTAATATTTTATAACTTTCAACATATTTAGCGTTCCCATCATAAACACATTTACTTCCTTTATTCTCTAAGGAGTTGGATTGTAGAATTATAGAATATTATTGCACTGAGAGTGTGTTCAAGTTAAAACACTGTTTTTTATCAGTCTGTTCAGCCATGTATATTATATTCTGCATTTGGTATGTGGTAAGTTAGTTAGTCTGGGAAGTGTCTGTTTTATTCTGTAAACAGGCAAAAAAAATTTTTTGTCATGGATGCTCATTGAAAGAGAACTAAAAAACTTGGAAGAAAGCCCAAGGAAAAATCAAGAAAGAGCATTCCAGCACTGAGGATCATGTTGATTAAATATGAGCCGTGAGTCCAAATGTTAGGTTATTCTGACAGATTTACAAATGAGAAAGTAATTTAAAATCTTGAAGAAGGTATTTTATTTTACATTAGGTTAGTGAAGTATGTTCAATAGCTGCTTATGTTTGCTGTGAAGAATTCACATAAAATTTTCATTGACCTGAAGCTTGCTCATTCATTTTAATATGAGATGCATTATAGCAGGATGACTTGTGTGATTTATGACATTTTGTCAGTATTTTCACGAAAAAGTATGCCTTTGTGTATATCTTCTCCTCAACTTTGCTTTTTTGTCCATACTTACAGAACCCCAAGGACTGCAGCAAAGCTAAGAAACTTGTGTGTAATATCAACAAAGGCTGTGGCTATGGTTGTCAACTTCATCATGTAGTCTACTGCTTTATGATCGCTTACGGCACTCAGCGAACACTCATTTTGGAGTCTCAGAATTGGCGCTATGCTACTGGCGGCTGGGAAACTGTTTTTAGGCCTGTAAGTGAGACATGTACTGACAGATCAGGTACGACCACTGGACACTGGTCAGGTAAGACTTAAGAGCCCAAATAAGTGTTCTTTATTTTCTGCAGTTTCTCTCATGTTAGAGCTATTTGGGTACCTCTTTCTTTAATTTTATGTGGAGCATGATAACTACGACTGGAATTGTATGCGTAAGCATCCTTTAAATTTTATTTATTCGTTGTACAGGAGCACTAATATCCTTATTAAGAAAACTCTTCTACTACTACTACTACTACTACTAGATCTTAATACAAAAACTTTGAGTTTTCAAGTATGATCCTTCAGCAGTCTTTCAGACTCTGTTATGTGCCAGATGTGAATCCAGTTTTTGTGGGAGGATAAAGAGAGTAGCAAGTGGAGGCTATGGTTGATAATCATTGACATACCAAAGTATGTTTGAAATAAAAAGCAAAAGAAATGCAAAGAAAATAGTATCCAATAGGCATCCAGCCACCAACAAAATCATGCAGTGTTGAAATAATTTTAATACAAACTAAATTGATTTCAATTTCAAGTTCAAGTTGAATTTTCAAATAAAAACAGTGGCAACATTAAATGACTTTCTATTTGTAGATCAGTAAGTCGATCCATTCTTGTACTATACTGAGCAATTTTACTACAAAAACTAAAAGGGTATCCGTGTTCAGAAGGATCAGCTAGCTTAGTTGTCTCACAGTAAACAGAGTATTCATTTTGATGGGAATCTCACAATCAACATTTTAAAGAGTTATTAACGCAATTGTAAACCTAGCATTTTTTAATAGTTTTTCCTTATATATTTGAGATGTTTTTCAGATATTTGTCTAAATTGAGTAGGTATACAGCAGAACTGGAGATAATTGGCAATATGCTAACATTTTCATCTAAATTTATGATAAATGCTTGTAGGAATTTTGAATTAAGTTTTTGCACAGATGTTTTTCTGTGAACAGTTGTCAGCTTGTTAGAATATTTGATAGATGTTATTGACTCTCCCTCTCTTGTTAATCATACCTATTATTTTTTCTAAGTCTGTAATTTGAGTATTGAAATAGGAGTTCATAAATGTTAGAATAAATGCAGGGAAGACACAAATATTTGAGAGTGTCGGCTATTGAGCCCTTATTTGATCAAAAAGAATACAACTGACCTTACCCAAAACTAGGTGAATTGACCTAGTTGAATTGACCTAGGTGAATAGGACCTCAGCCTTCATCAATAAATGTAGATTCTCAAACAAAAAAAGTTGGCAATTATAGCCCATATAAGCTAATAATGGGTAGAGAATGGGCTAAGCTAGATGATGGACAAAAACAATTTAGAGTTGGAAAAGAGTACTGTGCTGCACTTCAGATTATTGCACAGATACATATTTTGGTTATTAGCATGTGGGATTATCCTAGAAAGGAAATATTATCTCAGCTAGGAAAACAAGAATTTTTGTTATTATATTTTACGCTTATATGTGTACAGTAATGATGAGATGATGGTTTTCCCAGGTAGTTTCAATTTTATTTCTGAAACTGCTTGTTCATAGTTGAACTCAGTACAGAAATATTGAAGGAGGAGTATTCTCAAGATATTCTACTTGTTGGGGAGGTCAGAAATTAGAGCGGTACAAGACTTGGTCAATCTCTTTTGTATGTGGAATAATAAGTACCTGAAGGACTTATTTAGCAGGAACTTGGATTTCATTGAGATATCTACAAAAATGTTTAGAGGTTTTCAATAGACTATTGTGTAGATCACACCCCTGAGTAAGAGATACTTTTTGATGAGATGTTTTTGTAATGTACAATTTTTCTCTCTATGATTATGGGAGCTACAGCATGACATTCTCAGACCACTACTATCCAAGTATCATTGAGGCAGTATACAGTCTGTTTGGATTAGTAAATTGAAGTTTTAGATCCTGGGCTGATAGAAACTGCCTGTGCAGTGGGTAATTCAGCCCAAAGCCTATTTCAATCCAGTTCAGTCAACCAGGATTAAGTGCTGCAGAGATTTCCTTGATCTGACATGTATACGTGTCAACCAGATCCCATAGTTTCCACTACTGTCTCTGTGGAATAGGTTTTACAAATAATTCTCCGCTTCAAAATATTCTTGCAATGAGCTCTTTGTGGCTTCTTAAATGGTTCAAGTGTATTAACTAGTAACTAACAACCTTACCAGACTCTGAGGAAGGTGGGGAAGGGCAAAACGTTATTAGGAGCCATAATTTACAATAGAATAAATACACAGTGCTTGCCTTGCAAAAGCAATCACACATCTATAATTCAATAAGCTAGTCTTTTGTCTTCTGTGGACTTCAAAGAATGTTTTTGAGTCCTTGTTTTAGATATCTCACCAAAACCAATACTGATTCAAAATAAATATTTTTCACCATGAGGACAGCCCTACAGGTTGCCCAGAGAAGTTGTGCAGTCTCCGCTATTGGAAGTTTTCGAGCTTCAAGTGGATGAAGCCCTGAGCAATCCATTCTGATCCCATAGCTGACCTTGCTTTGAGCAGGAGGTTGAAGTAGATGACCTCCTATGAGTGTATGATGTGGGCAAACTTAAATTCAACTGTGGGAAGTGTTGTGCTGATTATGGCTAATAATAACCTGATTTTTTATCTTAATAAGCTGGCAATGACCAGAACCAGTTGCTTTGCAAGTCAGTGAAAATACAAGAACAGTAGGCAGGTAAGGGGTAAGCTGTGTCAAAGAGAAATTCCTACTGAGGCTCAGTAGTTAACTTAGATTTTGATCGTTCATATGCAACTTCATTTATGCAGGTGAATCTTACCTCCCTCTCAAAATACTTGGCAATAAGCACATATCAAAAGCTTAAGTTGCAGAGAATAATCTTCTCAACATGACACTCTGCATACCCAGTGCATGTGGAATCTTAGGGAATTTAACTATTAAAATATAAGCACAAATTTACGAACTGGTGCTTGGACATAATTTAATTTAGCCAAATACCAGTGTTTACTCACTAAAACAGCATTTATATTTTAGGTCAGTTCTTCAAATCTTCAAGATGCTAGAAAACTTCCTATTGAAAATTCTAGCTTTTCTTGTGAATGTGGGATTTTTTGAAAAACTTGTTCTCAGAAATGGTTGAATGTTTTCTAAAAATAACTAGGCCGAAACAGAAACCTGACATCGAAAACTTCAACTGAAGTTTTACTCGCACTTGGTAAAGTTAGCAACTGAAATGGTGCTTTCAACTGAGAAGTACTGGGCAATTTAGTTATAGGCAGTTTTATGTGCCTTGCCTTTGGTATAATAAGCTGTAAATCACAGTTTTGGAGCACTTATGCACACGTGGCTTAAAAAAGGCCATATTTTTTCATTCCTAAGTTTGAATCTTATATCTAATGATCTATTTTCACAGATTTTCATTTCCTGTGACAGTACAAATAATGATTCCTTTTAGTTCCCTATGGATGTTTTTTTAATTAGTCTCTACATCAGGAAAAATAGTTCGAAGGCTAAATGCATAAAATTTCTTGACATAATCAGATCTGTTCTACCTAGTGAATGCCATCACTTTGAATTTTGAGGTTCTAGAGATATAAAATATTCAGCTATGAAAGACAGTCTTTCTAGGATGCCTACTGGCTAACCACTCACACTTACAGACTGTTGAATTCTAACCTTGTAAAATGGCACAATCACTGCTGACAATTGATCTGTTTTACTACCTCCAGTTTAGCTTTGGTATGGATCTTCACTGGATCCATAATTGCTGCTAAATTTGAAAGACGATCCCTCTTGCCAAGGATTTCTGAATGTATTTTATGTCTCCACAAATTTATGTGGATTTTGCTTTCATTTTTCTTTTGTTGCCTCTCCTTCTCTAGATACAAATAAGTCTGAAATTCTTAACTTAGAAAAAAAAAGTTTGTCTGCAAAACCACACCTTTAATAGTTTTCCAAAGGAATTCTGAAATCAGTTTTAAAACTTCTAATTTTTAAAAATAAATGTATAAAAATGCATTGAAATTTATGAATTTCCACTTATAAAATGCATCTCTTACATGGTGTACACACTATGGTGTATATATGGGTGCTTTGCAGCAGTAGTTTATTAATTATAGATCAAAAATATTCATACAAATGAATACTTGTATCGGGATATCAGTATGAATTACAGAAATAGGCCAAAAGGTCTGAAAATTACCTTATTTCATGGAATTATTTTCAAGTGATTTGCAGACGCTGCACAGATTAATTAGTAAATTGTACTTTTTCCTGTCATGGCAAAAAAATTGTTTAAATACCGACTTTTATCTTTGTTTATTGAATTGCCTCTGCTTGACCCTTTTTGTTTAAGTTGAACTAGCATTTAAAGTTTTAATGTTCTGAAATCTATCTTGAGCAAAACAATTTAGATAGTAAATGTTCTGCAAAGAACTGAAGGGCTTATGTGACTGTAACATTTTCTTTTAAAAATATTATGGGTGCAATCCTTTCCTAGTTATTCATAAGAGCTTGCCTGTGTATTTCAGAAAAATTAGCATATTTTTTGAAATTTGGGATGTAGGATGAATTTTAATAAGCAAGCTAACGTTACTCTGATAGTAAAAGGTTAACTAATACTTATTGTTCCATATGTACGGAGAACTTGGAGGTCATCTCAGCCCTTGTCATCTCTGACAGGAATTATTCTTTTGCATTTGACATGCTATTCCTGTAAGTAAAGTTTAGCTTTTCTAGCCTCAGCTATGTGAAAAAATTAGGAATGTATGGCAGGTTTTTCCAAATATATTAGCTATTTTGCTTCCTAGAACAATCTTACTTTTTCCTTCATTTCTCTTAAACACTTGTGTATTGTCAATCTAGAAGGGAAAAAATTGTCTTAATAAGAGATGGTTGTATGTATGTTCTTTTTCATTTTAAAATTATACAGTACCTGCAATTGTAACTTACTTGCAGCTCTTTTTTTATTGCTATCTGTAGCCAAAATATTTGTGAATGATTTGGGTAGAGGTTGTTGTAAGTAATATATGTAGGATCTTCTGGTAATAAGAGGTAACCTATACAGAGATCTT